TATATATATATATATATATATATATATATTGTAGTGAGATAGGTCGGTTAGCTTCGTTTAGCTTCGGAGCTACACTACACGTTATAATATCTGGACTAGTTCAAGTACCTGATATTATACTTAATTTAAACGGGTTCTCTCTTTTTCGAGCTACTTGACAGATATGTGACAGAGATCAGTGATGTGAGACGTTAATTTTCTTTGACCCATCAAAATGAATGCGGTCATTTATTAACAGAATCAAAGTTTAACATCAAACATTGTACACGTGATTATTCTGATTGAAGCAATAACACAGCTTAATTACAACAGACATTTATGAAAATATCTGGATGATTTACTGGCAAGATAGAAGAGTTTTAAAGATGGGAAATGAAGGAGTTTAAATGGAGAGGGAAAGATGGACGAGGGAATATGTCTATTATAACCAGAAACGACACGCTCCTTTGGACCCAGCTTAACCCACGGTACACTTCGCAGTTGAAGATCGACTCTTTACCTTTGCAGACGATAGTTCGGCCTCGGTGTAGAGTTCTCTTTCAACGCTTTCCAGCGTCTCCGTAAGGATAGCAGAGATCTCAGGAGTCGTGAGATCATCCCTGAACAGACTTCCTCATTGTTCAGAGCTTCCGTCGGGTAGCGCCATAGCGAGACGTCGTGGCATAGACGGACTCTGATCATTCCATTAGAAACTTCTCTGGAACTCTGGTTCTCTCTGGAACGTTGTTCAGCTTAGTTCCCGTTGTTCTGCGTTCCGCATTCTCCTTGGAACTAGGAAGTGTTGACCCTTTTAAAGAGGTCAGTTCCGGTTCCTCTGAGAACTTCCTGATTGGTCGAAACGAACCAACAGGGGTGTGGTCTTAGTGATGTAAGAGGTTATTAGAAGTCAGAAAAACAGTTTGATGTTTTGGAACAGACAGAAAAATGTTTTTGAAACAGACAAGAGAAATGTTTAGGCGAGATGGGAGGAAACAGGTGCCAGCTTCTCTATTTACGTCTGAGAGGATTTAAAAACATGACAGTTCGTTCCAACAAACTTGTTTGCGTTTGTCTCCGACTTTTGACCGACATCACAACCTGCTCATTTCAGACAGAAGATCAAGAAAATGAATAATTACTCTGTAACAGACATTAACTTGATTTCTACTTTGAATGAGGATTAAAAATCATTAATACTGTTTCACAGTTGATTTAAAATAAGTAGTTCACTTCAACATTTAAAAATGATTTGAACTAAACACACTTTTGATTATCAAGATATTGTAAAATAGTAATGATAATAAAAAAGAGAGTGTTCTTTCAATTGATCAGTGCAGGACACACTTAGAAAGTCTCTGGATGAACTTAATTTTGTGTTTCTGGACTCAAATCAATGAAATAACAGTTCTTGTCCCAGGAAGGCCCTCAGGGCCAGATTTGACCTGAGGCTTAGTTCACTACAATATATATATATATATATATATATCAGCTCGAGTTCAGCAGAATTTCGAACCATAAACATCTAAATATGAGCCGGTATGACAATAAAAAAAATCCTTAAATCCTTGAATCCTTAACTTCATCTTTGAATCTTTGTTTCCTTATTTCAGAAACATGTTCCCACCAAACCTCGTCCAGGCATGCACGCAGCAGGTGAGCTTTACCACCAACCAACAAACATTAGAAGACCTGTCTTCACCACAGCAAGTCCACTAAAACATGTTTAAACTGATCCTTTCACACCCGATGACCAACCAGAGCCATCTGAAATCATGAAAAAGAATTTGTTCCCTCACAGTTCAGTGTTATCTGAAGAAATCTTTTTAAACAATTCTTCAGGTTTAGATCAGCATAGAAGTGTTTCAGTTGTTTTAAATTAATAACCGTCTAACTTTTTTTGGTTTCCACAGTTTAAAACCAAATACGAGAAGCGAACGTTTCACATGACGATCACAGTGAACGAAACCATCTCCAACTCCACTAACGCCACTCAGGAGGTCATGGAGATCACCAGGGAAGAAGTGATCCCAGTGCCGGGTCAGGTGAATGGGCTCAATGCCCTTGGGTTGGTGGTCTTCTCCATGTGCTTTGGTCTGATAATTGGCAACATGAAGGAACAGGGTCAGCTCCTCAGGGAGTTCTTTGACAGCTTGAACGAAGCCATCATGCATCTGGTTGCCATCATCATGTGGTAAAAGTCCTGATTTATCTAATGAGGTTTAAACACCTGTTAGGGTCCAACCTACCAGCTGATGTCCCTCTCATTGCAGGTATGCCCCGATTGGTATCCTGTTCTTAATTGCAGGAAAAATCGTGGAAATGGATGACCTGACTCAGATGGGAGGCCAGTTGGGCATGTACACCATCACAGTCATTATTGGCTTGTTGATTCATGGCGTTCTGGTTCTGCCCACTCTTTACTTCGTCATCACTCGACAGAACCCCTTTATCTTCATCACTGGGCTCCTGCAGGCTCTGGTAACAGCTTTGGGGACCTCCTCCAGGTGAGTAGAAGACAAACACGTGTACAAATAAAGCAAACTTGCCAATCAATTGACCTCTGAAGATCAGTTATGGGATCATCAGTCAGTCCACCTCTAGAAAATGAGCTCCATCTCAATCAGCAGGTAAATGGTAAATGGACTGTACTTATACAGCGCCTTTCTATCTGATCAAGATACTTAAACCGCTTTACACTACAATCTGTGTCCTCATTTACACATTCATACAGCTCTATACTAGATCTCTACAAAGCTAATTGAACAAATCATTCTAAAGAGACTAATCAGCGCTTTACATCACATTCATACACTGATGGGACACACATCGGCGGCGATGAGGGGTTCAGTGTCTTGCCCAGGGACACTTCAGCATGTGACTGCTGGTGGATTCGAACCCCCAACTCTTGCATTGGAGGACGACTGCTCTAACCACTCAGCCACAGCCGCCCTCAAAGGTCAAAGGTCAAAGGGCATGGGCTTTTCTCTCTAAAACCAACATGGCAGCACAACTTAGGTTTGGAAAATTTGGAACCACAAGACTTCTGGACCAGAACCAGACCAGAGGACAGAATGCACTTCAGCAAACAATTCCTCCCAGCTGTCAGCACAGCAGTGGAGGATGATGGTTTGGGCTCCTGTCAGTCACTGAGTGGACTAAAACTCCTCTGAAGACCAAAGAGCTCTGGAGACATCTGTTCAACAGCTGAAGCTTGGACCAAACTGGGTCCAACAGAACCATGATCCCAAACTCAGCAGCTGATCTACAACAGAATGGGTCAGAAAGAACATAACCATGGTGCTGCAATGGTCCAATCAGAGTCCAGAACCTCAACCTGACTGAGGTGCTGTGGTGTACCTTCAGAGAGTTGAGCAGAACCCTCTATGAACTGAAGATCAATGGAAGGACGAGTGGGCCGAAACTCTTCCACAACCATGAGAGAGACCAAGTCCCACAGAAAACACTGAGCTCGATGATGTTGATTTGTGTTCTCTTTATCCCTCTCTCTCTCCTCTATTCCTATCTCCTTCTTTACCTTTTAACTCTTCTCTCACTTTTCTGATTTGTTTTCTTCTTTGTTTTTCATCCCCATGTCCATTACATCTGGAACAAGCCCAAAGCAAATTCGAATAAAATTTAATTTATACAAAGTATATCAAGTGGAGCATTAAGGCCAGCCATCATGCTCTGCTTGTGAAAGTAAATCTGTTGGGCCTCACTTTGACTCTCAGACAATAATTCTAAGTGTCACAATGCTGCACAGGACAAGGGAAAAACAAAAAACACTGAGTTCTAGCTCTGAACTGAACTCATCATGTGCTTCAGTATTTTTGTAAAAGTTTAATTTAAAGTGAGAGATTCTCGGTTTGTGTTCCTTTTCAATATGTTCCCATCACCTCCCAGCTCTGCAACACTTCCTGTCACCTTCAAATGTCTGGAGGAGAACAACAGGATCGATAAGCGTATCACACGCTTTGTGCTGCCGGTCGGCGCCACCATCAACATGGACGGGACAGCTCTGTACGAGGCGCTGGCGGCCATCTTCATCGCCCAGGTCAACAATGTGGAGATGAACTTTGGTCAGATCATCACCATCAGGTAAATGTGAAGATAAACCGGCCAGAGCTGTGATTCAAACTAAATCTAACAGTGGTTGTTCTGTGAAGTATAACTGCTACTGCAGCCAGCATCGGCGCTGCTGGGATCCCTCAGGCAGGCCTGGTAACCATGGTGATTGTCCTCACCTCTGTTGGACTTCCTACTGATGACATCACTCTCATCATTGCAGTTGATTGGTTCCTGTGAGTAACTTCAATTCAAATGAAACAAACATTCACACACATTATAAAATGTTAATTAGTAAAAAATATCCAAGAGAATCATGTTGTGTTGAATCTTCACTTTGTGAGCGGTGACAGTGGGAAGAAACAACTCCCTTTGAACAGGAAGGAATTTTCAACAGAACCAGGCTCAGAATGGGCAGCCGTCTGCCTCGACTGACTGGACTTAGAGAGGTTTCTGTGGTCCAGGTGGGGTTTCTGTGGTCCAGTGGGGTTTCTTTGATCCAGGTGGGATTTCTCTGGTCCAAGTGAGATTTATGTGGTCCAGGTGGGGTTTCTGTTGTCCAGGTGGGATTTCTCTGGTCCAAGTGAGATTTATGTGGTCCAGGTGGGGTTTCTTTGATCCAGGTGGGGTTTCTCTGGTCCAAGTGAGATTTATGTGGTCCAGGTGGGGTTTCTGT